AGAGCACGAGCATTTAACATTTAATAAATAAATACCTCTTTTTGATTTCGAGAAAGTTCCAGAAAATTCTCGCACATTTTAAAAGCTCATATAAAAAGGAGGAAAACCTCTTAATTCGATTAGTTAGTTAGTTTGTTGTTCTTTTAAGAGTTTGTTTAGAAAACTGCTCTTGTTGATTGTAGCGAATTCGCGGATTAGCTTTCTTTTGCTGTTTCGAATTAAGTTCTTTTGAACGTTTGAGTAGTTAAAAGATAACTACTGAGAGATTTTGTAATACTGTACGAATATCTGAGGAAATTTAAGCCTTATTTGTTGTGATAATAATAAATTTTGTTCCTTTTTCATCGGACTTGTGCATTCATTTCTTAAGGAACCGTACACACGCAACAATACTAATATATGAATCCAAAAGGCTTCATTTGAAAATGTAATTCATTTCACGTTTATGTAATCACACAGCAAAATGTGGTGAGCTCTCAGCCAATCCGATTAAAGAAATTTTAATCTTTAAATATCACTGCTACCAACTGCGCAACCGTTTTTCTTCCCACCTTGCCCTCTGCTTAGACGCGTGCTTGCCGCTCTTTGCTTTGTCTGCGTTGTCTGAGAATGTAAGGTTTCAATGTGTGGGTGCATATCGCACCCTTGATAATACGTGAACCTGTTTACATATGAAATAAAACTTTCTATGAATCTACTCCACTTGGCTAACGATTTTCTTCACTGTTATTCCATCTTCCATATCTATGCAGCTTTATCATTCTATATGCGAATCTATTATCAACAGCAAATCATCAACTACAGCGAATTGTCATGAATATATGTAAGGAAAAATGTTTCGCAAATTGTGAAATTTGCGCCAGATAAAAATAACATGTAATACGAATTCAAATACGGAAACCCCAAAATACAGCAAACTCAACAACTGCTGGTGGTACATGGAAGTTTGGACCACGAGCACAAATACACTTTCGAGGATGCGTATCGATATTTCATTGGTTGTGCTCATAATGATTCTGTTTGCCAATCCTGATGAAAGACCCTGAGTTTTATCCTTCCACGGAACTATGTATAATAAATACTATACAGGCAGGATAACAGTATTTTTTTTTTCGTTATTTTATTACCTTCTAGGCTAAAACGTTAGAATTCTTTATTTTAATACGTGCTGCATTAATGGTTTCACCTCTGGGAAGAAATTCAGTAAGCCAAACGCCTTTCCTATCCCAGAAGACAGTGCACATGATTTTTTGTTGTGATGGCATTGTCACTTTGAACTTTTGTTTTTTCAGAGAATGAGTGTGTCTCCATTCCATCGATTATTGTTTCGATTCTGGTGTGAAATGACACACACAAGTTTCATCACCTGTCACAATTTGGTTTAAAAAGTTTTCTCCCTCATCACTGTACCGCGTGAGAAATGTCAGGGCACTACCAAGTCGCTTTGTTTTGTGAACATCAGTGAGCATTTTTGGAACCCATCGGGAACACAGTTTGCGATAATTCAAGCGGTCAGACACAATTTCGAACAAAACAGTACGTGAAATTTGTGGAAATGCCTCTGAAAGAGTTGTCATTGTGAAGCGTCTGTTCTCATGAATTGCTTCATCAACTTTCCTTACCAAATCATCGGTGACAACAGAAGGCCGACCACTCCGAGCCTCGGCGTGGACATTTGTTCGACCTGCATTAAACATTCTTACCCACTTTCTCACCATTCCATCACTTATCGCGTATTCACCGTAAACTTCTGTCACTTGACGATAAATTTCGGCCGGTTTGTTTAACATTCCTCGCGTTCAAAAATTTAATCACGGCACGAATCTCGCAGTCAGCGGGAGAACTAATTGTCTTAAATATTTTGAATGTGCACAGCAAACTGAAAACACAACATAGAGCAACCAAAATGGCGACAATTGAAAGTCAGTGAACAAGAAAGACTAGTGCGCATGCGCGGGACGCCTACCACAGCGCTGGAATGAAACGGTACTTAGTTTCCGAATACGCTACGTACTTAGCAGAAAGAAAAGTCTCTTCTAAATACTACACTGCAGGGCACTGCTTACGCAGTACACATCAAAACATCGATTGATGCATTCGTGACATTAGGCTCGGGATTGTTGCGTTCAGTTGTCGAAAATTCAATGCATAGAATTCGCTTCTGGACACTTAAACGATATTTTATTCAAAATATAATATCATAAATTGTTCTTCAAAATAGTACAAAGACCCACCAGTGGCCGAGCGGTAAAGTTCCTGAACACTGGTTGTTCGGTCCGAGGTTCGAATTCCGCGAACGTGTTGGCTGCATGGGCGCTTTCGTGGTTTTCCTCATGTGTAGCGTGTTAATACTAGCCAATTTCACTTAGAAAGTCCTCCACGAAGGCATCCATCTCTTCCTTGTAGTGCGTTACGGCGGAACCCGTAAATAATAATCATAAAATAGTATAAAAAGTTAGATTGTATCTGGTATAGTTTTTAATCTTACTTCATTTTATCACATTATTCTTGTTCAAACATTCGAACACTCTTTATAAAGCGTCGTGTAGAGGGGAAAAAAAAGAAAAACCATATAGCTTAAGTTAAATCGAACGACATTAAGGTTTATGAGATTAAAAAAAATCTGATGTGTACACCACATGACTTCCTTGTACGGAATATTAAATTATACGCATTTTTTCGCATTTATTTAAACTTTGGATTGAATTAAATCTACTTTGCCGACAGCGCATAACCACAATAGAATAATGCATTTCTTTAAAATTCATCTGTATTTGTTTACCATAGCGACACTCTGGCGCTAGATTCACTAAACAGTATTATATTCGTTCATATATAACACAATGACAAAAATTATATCATTTAAAGGAATAGAATTATATAATCGTTGCCAATGTTCTATTCAAATACTATAATAAAGATAGAGTGAGTATAAAAGAATTAAACAAACAAAAAAAAAAGAAACAGTTTTTCACAGACGATGAGTATTTCTCATTCAATAATTCAGTTCTCACTTCGCGAGAAGCAAAATGCATAAAAACTCAAACTACTATATTAAAAATTACGAAGTAATCTTAAATACTTATTTCCTCGAAGATAAATTCCTGAAAGAATTAAGCGTGATTTAATTGGCAATAATAAAAGAATGCGTTATCTTGTTGTTGCGAAGCTAAGTTTCTCTAGATGGCAACAAATCCACTAGTATGCTGTTTCAAATGTAAACATCAATGGCCGCAAAAAAAAAAAAGGCTTAGCGGCCTTAGACAACTTTAAAATTGTTGAAATTCTAAAAATATGCAGACAGATTTACTAAAGGCATAAAAACCTAATCGGAAGATAAAAACAAAAAACAATCATTTTAAAGCAAAAAGTACAACTTACAAGACAGAAGAGTAAACAACTGAGATCACTGAGCCGGGTTAACAGAGTGGACTATATATAAATATTTATATACGTTGGTTGCGGCCGATTGCAACAAAGTACGAGGTGCACATCTACATGTTATAGCAGTCCTATACAAAATTTCAATGTTCTGAGGCTTACTCGTTTTGAGTTATGCGAGATACGTACGTACAGACGCCACGAAATTCTCTTCGAATTAATTTAAAGCAGTTTTATAATTTTTTGGAGGAAACGAGTCTTTTATTCTGTCCTTACGTACCGATATCATGCAAAAACATCGTTAAATTGCATTCGATAGCGGTCAAAATGGATGAAATATGCTGCCTGAAACTTTTCGCTATTACAATACTTCCTGTTTACTTCGTACAAGGAAGTAAAAAAGTCTTTACCAGTGTTACAAAACCCAAACTAATTTCTCATGTCCAATAATTTCGTTATATTTTTCGATATTACAAGCTTCTTCATTGGAATATCACCGAAATTATTTAAACATTACACTACTAAGGCAATTATCATACATTGCTGCTTGACAAATGTTGTCATTGCAAGCAATTAAAAATCTTTCATTTATCTTCTACAGGCTCGCAAGCGTTGTCATTGAGGAAGACTGTAAAAATAATTTATCTGTTAAATAATATTTCCTTTGCTTATGAAAGTCAACAATTTAAAAACAATTTAAAGCATTTTTAATGAATTAAGTACTTAATAAAAAAATCTATTTGGCATAATTTAAATATGTTTCATTTATAATATACCAGACAGGTAACTTTTATTGGCTGAATTTTTGGGTTTAATAAAAGTGTTTAAAATGCCTTATATTATGCACAGTGAGGTAAAATCGTTTATTTTATTTATTAAGTATTTAATTATCGTTAGAATTGTACTTTTCTTTTTTATGAGTTATATTTTCATCAGAATCTAAACGAAAATAATTTTCTGGAACTATTTCGTTATTGTATATCACGAACAGGTCACAAATATAATTTCATTTCTTTTATTAAATTATTCAGAATTTGAAAAAAAATCCCCGAAATGTAATTTTACGGTATGTTTTCATTCATCGTATCCTAGAAATATAGTACCGTTTCAAAGCGAAAGTAATGCGAAACCGATGTGGATGTAATAGCGTCTCATATCTGTACATAGCAAAAGTAAAGCGCTCATCACCTTGTTAACATCACTTTTTGAGACTTTTGCTAGCATCGTTTAATTCTTTGTTTATTTTTCAAATAAGCAAACAATTCCCCAGCCAGAGAAGTTCCATTTTAAGTTTGTGCGAATTAGTTCCACATTGTTGTTCCAAATGTTCGGTTCCTGCCATTCCCGTTTTGTATACACACACACACTAAGCAAAGAGAACAGGATACGAAAAAATAATAATAACTTCACCCAAATCACGCAATCCTGTCTTACATCCCATTACAAGAGCCGGTGCACCCCATTATCACCCCCTGCACCCTATCCTTCTCCCAAACTCCGCAACTCATTCAATGCGAAGGCTCCTTTCTCACTGGCTCGCGGAGACGGTAGGCGTGGCCATTCGCACGTCTATCACCGTATTTCGTTCCGCTCGTGGGCGGAGAACCACTTCAAGCTCTCGTATCCGCCCCATCCGTAGCGTAGGGGCGGAGTCGGACGATCGGGCGCGTGTCGTTGCCTGGTCAGTGAGTATTTGTTTGCCGTAAGAACTGGACCCGGAGGATCCACTATCCACGATCTTTCGTTTCAGACCTTCCGTAAGCGAGTAATTCAACCACCCCCTTTCGCTGCCCCCCTTGTTCATCCCGAGGGACAATAGACGTTACGTGTGTGCTAGTCAGGCTTAGCTAGTGTCTGCCCGTCGCGTAACGTTATTATTTTCTTCGGCTTGATTTCAAGTAAACATCGGCGGTTGTCGACATGGGTACCGGAAGGGTTGTCAAGCGTCACCCTGACAGCTGGTTCACGTGAAGAGGTACAGAAAATGAAAACCGGGCAGTAAGTGTTGTTGGTGAGACTGTCTTGTTATAAACAGACTTTCAGGAGAAAATGTCATACGCGCAGTTTGGATATGCAGCTTTCACCCCTACTACACAGGTAAGATATATTCTTTGTTATGCTCTAAACACTATTCATGTAAAAAAAAAAAAATTAAAGTTGCAAAGTTAATATTCAATAAAGTTAAGAAAGATCTAATTAAATATTTCCTATTCAAACCATTTCTTTCTTTTTTAATGGCATTTTTATTGTAATTAATATTTTTCATAATAAATGTAACAGGATATTAGTTTCAGAGAGCCGTTAATCATTGCAAAACTTTCCCTTAATTTTATTTTTATTCGGTATTAGGAATTTGAGAGATTTCTTTTCAAAGATTTAAAATCTTAATCTGACGTTGTATTGGATAGTGAATAAATATGTATTTACTGAGTGTTCTTGTCTACACGTCGTTTATCTGTGTATTTCAAAACTGTTGGATGGGCGCAGGTGAGATATAGTAGTCAAAACCTCCATTCTAACTATTTTAACTAAATGAACCTCCAGATTTAAGTATTTCTTATTAAACTATATTTGCTTTTGCTTCAGTTCGGTCGATCATCTGTAGTTTTAAATCAACCAGTTGTTATGTCTCCTGACACAGTTTTTTTAATCTGAATATTAAATGAATAATAAAGTCGTTAGTGTAATCATAACTGAGCTAATAAAAATGAGATAAGATTTAAATTAATTCAAAATATTAAAACTATTAATAACTTTCTGTTTGTCAACATGTAAATCGTAATAACTTCATTCCTTTTAAACAATAATAAAGAATCAGTACTAAATATGTGCATCTGAATTTAATTAAAAGCACGTATATTTAAATAGCTTCTCTGGCAAGATATTCTGAAAAATAATTTATAACAAATAATTTAAAAGAAATCCAAGCTGTGTTGGACATTATAAGAAAATATGATGCTATTCTTACTTAATTTTCATTATTTATACAAAATTAAGTTGAAAAATTTTCCACCGTTTCTAGTATTTAAGAAATATTTAAAAAATTACAGAATTTATTATTAAAGTTATAAATTTGCTTTTGAAAATTGTTTCAGAAAGTCACTTACTTTGAGTGATTATATTTATTTCATAACTGGATTCTGAGTAAATACAGTTTTAGATCACTGTCAAATTACGTTTGCTTTTTTAAATATAAATATATTTAAAGGATTTTTATATCCCCCCCTGTATTCTGAGAAGGTAAAACAGCGGGTGATTATTAATTACTGGCTGTTGAAATACCTTTTCTTTTGTACCTTAAATGAAAAGGCAAGATTATTTTCAAGCAAATCGAAAAATTATATTTAGCGTACTTTACATTTAGGTGGACTTAAAGAATTTCCTTGGTTCAATGCTCATAGAGACCAACGATTAAATATGAGTTCATTAACGAATTTTATACGATTCCTTTTTCACGCATCTTTAAATTATCATTGATAAAGTAAGTGTTCTTATAATTTCATATTTACTTTCTTTTTCGCATAAATTTAATGAAAAGCATCTAAATTCAAATAATTTCTCTGACAAGATAGTCTGAAAATAACTTAAAAGAAATCCAAGCTATTTTGGACATTACAAGAAAATAAAAGTCCATTGCTCAAGCTTAATTAGAGGCAAAACAAAGATAGAGTTTTATTCAAAAATAACTAAACTTTAACCTAAGCATGCTTTATTTCCTGCCTATAAATTTCATATTGCCCTGTTATATTTTTCCAATTAAAAAAAGTGTTTGAATTTAGCTATTCTTATTCGCTACAAAAAACTTTTAATCTTCCTTCAAAAATTTCATTTCATAAAAAGTACTTTAGCTCACCATTATATTTTTGGTCTATGTTTTTCAAAATTTTGTTTGTCGTATTATTCATATTAAAAAATGATAAAAAAAACTGGGCAGATCAGAACATTTGGTCATTAAAGGATCAAATTGTTGCCAACAAAGCAGATTATTTTGTCGACAGTAATTCTGTAAGAAGCTTGTTTATTAAAAAAAGAAAAAAATAGTGATAAATGCTTTTATGCAAAATAAATAAATAAATAAAAATAAAAAATGAAACAGCAAAACATATAATTTATACATAATATAATATAATAATAAATTATACAAATAAAATAATAAATTTACTTATAAATAACATAGGATCATTTTCCAGTTACTCGTGCGCTTTTGGGTTGGAATATTAACAATAAAAACTTTTATTGCGTGGATTTTGATATTAAATAGCATAAAATTTTCTTTTTTATTACATGTTAAGTAACATAAGCGTCATAAATTGCAATAGGATTGTTTGCGAAGCAAGCTGAGAATTACTGTTAAATTGTATTTAATATTCGTAATTTTTCCATAATAAGAATAGTAAACAATGTTTATCAGTGAAAACATATAGAACAGTTTTTATGCATTTATTATACTTCACTGTAAATTTACCTGAAACATGTACCTAAAAAAATTATGGGTGTGATGCAAATGCTTTTTAGTATGAGCAGCAAACGTTCTAGAACTGCAGAAAGAAGCATTTATAAAGGTACGAATTATAAAGAAACTTCTAATTTATTATTATTTATTGCTTCATTTGTCAAACAAAGTAGAATATTAAAGAATTAAAACATGAGCTAAGCGCTGGATAATTGATAATATGATAAGCAATTTTCAAGATTAATTGAAACTAGGCTATCATTTATCCAAATTCCCTACTCGCCCTGCTATAATAACAGTTTGTGTTAGTCCGAAGCTATTTTCAGATTCAATTTTACTTTTATCACAAGCTTATATAATTTTTTTGAAATTAGATATTGTGTCATAAAGCTTAATAAACCTAATAAAGGTGATAAATAAAACTGTTTCCCGCTTTCACAATAAAAAGCAAATCTCTTTCACACTTTTCATTAAAACTTAACAATTTAAAAATTTAATCTACTTTAAAATTGAAAATCCTTTACAGTGAAAATAACATTTGAAAATCCTTTACAGTGTTTTCATTAAATGTTACACCTTTATTTATTTATTTATTTACTTTTTCATTTGTTCGAAAGACTGGGAAACTAGAAACTGGATCTTTAACTTGTTTATATTTATCTCCTTTATCACTTTGCTTTAAAATAATGATCGAGTATTTTCTCATTGCAATTTACAACATATTCAGTAAAGAAAATGACCAAATAATTTGGCTGTTGGGCTCATAATTCTTCAGGATTAATAAACTTCTTTTCTTTGTTCAAATTAATATCCTTAAAGATATATGGTATTTACATTATTAGACAAGCAACTAAATAAAAGACTTCATAAAAGTTTATTTACCATCAGGGCCAAATTTTTTCTTATGAAAAAAATTATTATATTAAGTGCCAAACTAAAGGAAAATTCAAGCATGTGGTTTTAAAACTGATCTAATCTATATAAAATTAGAAATGTATGTGCAGTTTTGCTTGCAAGTCATATGAAATATTCAGTCGTTCAGTAAAATTTTGCACTGAAATGTACAGACAATGAAACATTAAGTTATTCAGTAGCATTAAGTAACATTTATTACTGATTATATGAACAGTCGGTATGTGTAAACAAAACCTAACCATACTATAGTACTTAAAAAATAGTAAGAAATACCTTTTTATAAATTTATTTAAAGGCACGGTAGGAAAATATGGATAAAACTCATTCACATAATAATACAACTGATTTTTAAAACGTTACTGTCATATGTCCCATACTATATGACACAGGACAAATCCTTCATAATTTTGATTTTAATTACATTGAAATCAAAATTATGGCGAATCTGTCGTGTTTATATGCTGCTCATTATAAACGTTTCTTCCATTTTATAACATTTCAGGACACGCTCAAAATTTGATACTAAATTTACTTACGTTAAACTTTAACAGCGATTAATTTAAGGAGGAATGTCACATGACAAACATTTTTTTATACTTTAAACTGTTCATAATTTATTTAACTAATAATGAATGTCAATAATATGCATTTCCTTATAACATTAAAGATAAAAACAAAGGAAAAAGTTCTTGAATTACTTCACACACAAGGAATGTGCGTATTAGATTTCTTTGTTTCGCGGGAGAGAATTTAAAGCAGGATATATTTAGCAATTTGGAGTTCAAGAAATGGGTTAATATCTTTATCTAACAATTGAGACAAGTGAGTTTGTCAACAGGAGCAACAGGTACGGAGTAAATTTTAATGGCGTATTGGGTAACTTCGATTTCACAATTAGCAGCTGCAGTTTAAAATAGCTGAAATAAATTAATTACATCAATAAAATGGCGAATAAATTCGATTCAACTAGCGCAACATTCGACTGAGAATAGAATCTTTTTAATGTGACTGTCAAACGGAAGAGTCCCCTTTTCTGACGTCAATCACTACGACTCCACTAATTCGGCATAAAATTTGATTTCGCATCGAAATACAACAGCAGTCAACGATTATCCTGTTTTGACGCAGTCATTCAGGCATAAAAATAATAAAGCGAGGTATATGTCTCTGTGCGTCTCCCGAAATTTACTCTCAACGGGAACACATGGGGTTTGGGGACGTCGCAAAAAAGGCAGATCGGTCCTCGTCGTCTCGGAAGCATAATAGCATATCGCGGGCCTTTTGCGGGGCCCGTTGTGTATTTTCTATACCGGGAGTATGAAAGAGGATGAATTAGCGATAAATAGGCCGGGGAGGGTAAAGATTGAAAGTCAGAGAGGGGTGGAAATAGAAAGGCGGTGTGAAAAGTCATTACGGTGTCAGCACCGTCGGTTTCTGCTCTTTAGGGGGTTGCTTTCTTTCCCCTTGCTGCAAAGTACCCCTCTGAAATCATCCGCTGTGATATTCTGGGGATGAGGGAACCGTCGTGAACTCCGCGACCACCAGATAGCAATCTCCTGACGCAACTGGAGCATCCATTCTCCAAGCCGGTAGATTATCCTTGTTATGTAAAGGCTCATTATCCTGAAATGATGGAACGCAGGAAAAGGAATTAATTTCTTATAAAAATGTATACCATACCGTAATTTGTTTTGCTTCTCTGGCTGTGCTTTAAGCAATAATTTCCAAA